GGGATCGTCGTCAGTTAATAGTTAAAGGTCGGCGACAGTACTGGAGACAAGGCCGTCTCGTACCGTACTGATGTTCTACGGCACGGTACGGGACCAGTATGTACGGTACGGGTGAAGTTCCAGTACGGCAGTACGGTACGATTCCTTGGTATTTTATAAACGAGTACGAGCCGTACTGGTGTCGTACCGTTATAACGACCCGTATCGTACTGGAATGGCCGTTCGACGGCACGACAGTACGGTTCGGTAGGGGTAGGTCAGTACGGTACGGCAGTAAGGATCAAGAAGGGTCGGTACGGTTCGGCGTACGGTACGGGCGCCCAATGACGACGTTTACTAACAGCGGTAATTAATGGAGATGCTATCCATGGCGACGGTAACTTCGACAAAGTTGCGCATTTATTTGGAGTTGGTACGTGGTTACGGTATGCGGTTAAAACCGCGAGTAGCCCGGGCAGTCAGCTCCACACCAAATTCAAAATAATCAGGGCATTCCTTACATTTTCGCGTTAAATAAATGTTACGATAGGTGTTTTTAATAGTCACCGATCATCATCTGATTCCCAATCGCAGGCAAAAAAAAATAAAATGAGTCTTTACGACGAATTTTTTCGATTAAGTTTGGCCTACCCATTTGGGAAATTAGGGGCATATCCTATGACCGGTAAGCCCACTCCGGCTACGCACTGCCGATTCGAACAGTGAAACGTCCTGATGATTAGCCCGAAGCAAAAATTGCTCATAGCTTGCAGCATAAATGTCGACGAGTCCAAGCAGTAATGGGATGCATACTTACCTCGCTTGTGCATGTGAGTAGAACATGGCGAAATTCGAGACGATCACAGGCACTGGCAAGGCGATGGTGAGAACACCCTAAACGAGACGTTGTCGTTTATGTTCCCATCCCTTCTGGCACACGTACCATCAGAGCGCAGAAGGACCCGACGACCATGCCCAGGAAGGTCTTCGGGACGACGTCGCCGAAGCCGATCGTTGCGATCGTGATCATGGCCCTGAATCATGGATTCGGTTCGGTAAATCCGATGACACTAGCATAAGGAAGAACTTACTCACCACCAGAGACCGACGGGAATCGACTCGAACTGGTTCTCCGGGTTGTTCTCGACTCGCTCGGCGTAGTAGACTAGTGATGCAAAAAGCACCATGCCGAGCAGCACGAAGAACACGAGCAGAAGGAGTTCCTGTAAACGTTACCTTGTTTGCAAAAAGAGACCGGATATCCGTGAAATGGCGGAATGAGAAACCTGCAGATGGGTCGGGAAACGCTTAACGGGCCCGGGAACACCTGCTTAGCAACATCTTAGCAAGAAAATTTGCATAGAAGCATAGGACCCTGGCCATTGGGGCTGTTTCGACGCTGTCATTAATCGAGATCTGGCCAAGCACTGCACTGTTCCTGCATCCAAATCAGTTTGTGCAAACAAAAGGCTACTAGGCTTGTGATCGACGTAGGGTCGCTGCTCGGGGTTTTGCACCAGTCTAGCGAGTCACTAACTGCGACGCACACAGCGTCACATTTTCTAGTGTGACGCATAGCGAGCAGTGATCGCCCTAGCTGTAGGCAGACGTGAAATTCTTCATGTGTCTGAAGCGACTGACGCCGAGCGCTTATTCAGACAGCTGTACAAGCATTAGTAGGCGTAGATCGTCGCAAACACTATGCCTACTTAAGCGCACCAGTGATGACAGAACGCATCCACTTGTGAGTCTCCACACTCCACTGCGGTCTCCACCCAGGTTCAAGTCCGGGATCCGTAGCCAATTTGTCATGAGCCGTTACCTGAAGGCTGTCGCGTTGGTTCCCTTCGTTCTATTACTCTCTCAGGCCTATGGGCAGCGATGTAAGTTGATTTGATAAACTATTGACCGGTTCAATTCACGAAACTTTTGTTTTGTGGTTTCTTATATATGGGCATTTAGATCTGCGCAGCGTTGACGCTTTGAAGGACATTAACATCGACGTCAAGGCTGAAGATAACAGCCGTCACGGTCATTCGGGAGGTGAAGGAGCAGAGCGTCTGAAGCGCCAGACCGACCCACTGAACGCAATCAACGTTGGCATGAATGCAGTGGACAACTCTCGTCATGGTCATGGCGGTGGACACGGCCCAAGTGGAGCCAGTGGACATGATGGCGTCGAGGCAGGCAGCCCCGAGGTTCCGGAGACCGAAGCAGCAGAGCGCATCAAGCGTCAGGCCCCTCTTCTAGCTGACATCAACGTCAATGTCAACGCGACGGACAACTCGAAGCACGGCGGCTCAGAACGTGGTCATCATGGCGGAAAAGGCGACCATGGAGGACCATCCCGTCCAGGACCAGTCGTGCCGTCCCACCCCGAGCCTACCGGACCTTCCCATCCAGGACCAGCCGACCCGGTTCATCCGGAGCCTGCCGGACCCTCTCATCCAGGACCACATGGAGAGCCTCACGCGGATGATGACGCAGGCCACGACGGACCCGCTGCTCCGGGGCACCCCGACCATGCAGGAAACACCGGCGGACAGTCACAGACGCAGTCGCAGAGCCAAAGCGGTGACGGATCCCAGGAGCAGACTCAGTCACAATCGCAGCGTCGTCATAGACGTCAAGCCGCTCGTCTTGACGACATCAACGTCAATGTTAATGCCGTCGACAACTCCCACCATGGAGCGGGAGCCTCTGCGGGTGGTCGTCATGGGCCCGTCGGAGGTCATGAAGAGCCAGAGGGGGAGGAAGCTGAGCGGCTTAAGCGTCAAGCACCTCGTCTTGACGACATTAACGTGAATGTCAATGCCGTCGACAACTCCCGTCACGGTGCCGGTGGTCATGCTGAGGGCAAAGAAGCAGAGCGACTGAAGCGNCTGAGATTGCCTGAAATGCGTACTTCGGCAGCTTTAATGAAGGCCTATTGAATGTCGAGGCTATGAACCTCTGTCTCCACGTCCTTAAGCACAACTTCTCGCTTCTCATCGGAAGACAATTAAAAAAGTATGGACCGATTTTCCTGATTCCTCCGATGGTCAGAAAAACTTGGAAATAGCATGAATGACGGGCGAGTCGAAACAGTGAAAGGGACCGTTTCAGCGGATAGACGCATGCGGACAGCATAGCAATCAGCGAAGCGCTTGGAAGCGGGACAAGAACAGCGGAAACTGAGCATTGCAAGCGGAAATAAGATGGAAGAGCAAATGAAAAATGTGGACGCGATAGAGCTGTGAGTTGACAGAAGCTGGTAAGAAAGTGTCGAAGGCAAGCACGGAAATAGTGAAGCACCTACCTATCAAGGGTCGCCTTCGTTTTTTTGTACTTAGCTCGGACGAAGAATACAGGTCGGACTTCTAGGTCGCATTACCCCACTCTAATTATTCACAGTTTACATCCCAGTGCTTACGCATGTCAAGCAAAACTCCAAGGTTCATTGCGAACACTGGCTGCTCTAGCTAGGTTCAACTGGTCAATTCCTCGAGTCATATAGCGTTTTAACTTGTACTAAGAAAACCAGGCCAGTACCCAGTGGGATCGGACCCCCTCCAAATTTCGGATCCCTGCAAAATTTCACGGCTATCACCGGCTTAAGAATTCGGTGCCTTTTGTATATTTGAATCAGAATCGCTTCGGTTTTATTTACGAGCTTTTGTAGACATCTTAGCAACTCGATAAAATCCGTGCCCGGTCCGCTCTACGTTTTCCACAACTTCACGTTCCGGCCCGTCGCCGTGAGGGGCCCACTGGGGGGGGGGGATCTTACCGTGGGAGCGACCTTGGGGCATGGTGCACAACCTCAATACCTATGCTCTTAAAGCTGTCGCTAGCCACGAGTCTGAAGGAACCCTCACGTCTCAGAGGGTTAAATGGGCTGTTCTACGAAGGCGCTAGGCAGCGGACGATGGACAAGGTGCCAGCCAGCGTTTGGCCCGTGAACACAAAGGGACGTCGCGAGAACAGGCTTTAATGTCCACGAATCGCCACACAACAACATGCGGTGCGCCAAAAAAGATGCGAGAACAAGCACGAGTGAGAGCGTTACATGCGTGGCGTGCTTGGCTTGAAAGGCGTGCTCCTCTAACTCCTCACGCTGCTCCTCAGTGCGACTGCTTGCGGTGGTCGTCCGCGACGCTGTTGTTGCCGTTCGGAACGGAGAGCTTCGCCTTTCGCGAGACTCCGTCGTTGCTCAGCGAGACGTGGAAGAAGGCGGCGATCTGCGAGCCGGCGCTTTGCTTCTGCGGCGGCATGGAGAGCGTCACGGGGTGCGGCGACGTGCTGTTGCTCTGATGGTTGGAATCGCCGCCGGCGTCCGGCAGCAGACTACCCGACTTCTGACGGTTGTGCTTCGGATGGCGCAGGAAGGAGGACGCCTTCACTTCGTGCGCCTAAATCGAGTCGTCAAACTTCTTTGATACCCAGTCCACAAGGCCTCTAAGTCCGTCCTCAGGTTTCTTAAACCAACTGGTACCGAAGAACTGGGACTCTGCCTTCGAAGGACAGTAAAACAAATGTATTTTCAAGTACCGAAAAAATACGGACAAGAAGAGAAGACGTAATTTGGCTAGAAAAATGGAGGAAACCAAAAAATACTGCTAAAGAGAAAAAATTAAAATGTGTTGACGAGCTCTCAAAGAAGCCCTTATATTTTGCATTTTCTCTTCTTACTTTTTTGCACAGGAAGTTGCAAGAGCGAATTCAGAAGCTTACGTACCGACAAATAAATGGTCGTACGGAGGAACCATTCCAATACTTTCCGCATGCCTGGAATAGCCGAAAAACGCGAACTTTTCCTATTGTAAACACGTCTTTGGCATTGCTGCATTTGGAACAAACGTCCCAGCGTCCGTCGGTTCGTATTTGTTTTCGTGTCCAACAGTGAAAAAGAACGAAAACGAATAAATCTAAGGGAAAATCGCATAAAAGTTCTTCGCCGGGACCGTCAGCCAGGTCTATTGGTGGTAGAAGGGTTTTCGTCATTCTGCCTCAAGAGTAGCAAATAAGTCATCACCCGGTCCCGCCGGCCGGGGTCGAACCGGCGACCTCTCGCTTCGCGAGCGGGCGCCTAACCCACTGCGCTACATGCACAAGTGGAGCGCGTGTGATAGACGAGAGCGACGTAAACAAGCCGCTTGGCTGAGTGGCGGTAAAAGGCCGCAACAAGCGAGAAAAGGCGAATTTTGGAAAATTTTTGGTCGATAAATTAGGGCAAAAATGGCTAAATTGTTGGAGCTTCGTCAGCGTTTCCTGCGGATAAAGACGTTTAAGAAAAATTATCGCTCACTGTGTCAAACCTTCAGTGAGGCGCTCACGTCCCGTACGACAGTGAAAGGTACTCCGTACCATTTTACGGAACGGAAAACGGTACAGAAGCAGGGGCCAGTACCAGAACGAAAATAGACACGAACGGTGGGTACAGAGCCGGACATCCTTCAGGTTCAGGGCGGATTCCGATCCATGTCGAAGATTTCAAAACCAATTCTGACGCCAAAAATGACCGATATTCGATGCCGATCTCACTCCCGTTCCAAGCTGTACCGGAAAGGTGTTATTATGCAAGGCATTCGGCATCATCTAACGATGCTCAAGCGCCGCTTGCATCTGCGAAAACAGTCGAGGGAGTGGTCCTCGGGACCGATTCCAAAAAGACCGATCGGTACCCAGGCCTAGCCAACTACGGAAGAAATCGTCAGCTTCAAAAGCCAAAAAAGTGATTCCTACCTGCAGGACACGCCTTCGCTTCTTCGGTAGCTTTGACCGGGCCTGCGTGTGCGAATACAGGTTCGAGAAATTGGTCACAATAACCGGCACTGGCAGCGCAATAGTCAGCACGCCCATGAGAGCACAGAGAGAGCCGACGACCATGCCCAGGTAGGTCTTTGGGACGACGTCTCCGAAGCCGATGGTACAGATCGTGATCAGGGCCCTAAGTCGTGAGAGGCCATTAGGCGGAAACCTTCGAGAAGAAGAAGGCAGCTCCTTTTAGTCAGTCATAGTGCAACTTAAATCCATGAAGCCTTCGCGAGCGGAGACGGTGCGCCGTGAACATGCCGTGCCGTGTTGGCCGTGAACACAGCATGAAGGTGGGAGGGGCCACAACGACCAACCCTATGCGGGAGTCTTGATTTGCGTCCCCGGCCCATCCCCCCATTCTGTGAAAGACCCCCATCTTTTCACTGTAGGTCGCAGGTATGGATAGGGCATAGGGTTGACTCAAGTGAGGTAGTGAAAGTTTTTGAGGTCTTTGCATACGTAGGAATTGTCAACATATTTAATGGACAATTTCACTCGTACTTGCGCTTAATTTACACGAAATTAGCTGAATCTGGGCGAAGTTACAATCAACCTCCCCCCCCCCTCCTCCACTTAAGGCCCGGCCTCCGGCCCCCACACCCCCTACATCCGGCTCCGGCGCCTGGCCCCTCGGCCCCGCACAGGGTTGACCACTACCACGACACGGCGCCACTCAGTTGTTTGTTCTATGCCGTGCCGTTCCGCGCTTAGTGTAAACGGCATGACATATTTGGCCCACCACGGCACGCTTAAACGTCAAAAACGTACCACCATAGCCCAGCGGGGATGGACGAGAACTGATTCTTCGGGTTCGCCTCGATCCTCTCCGCGTAGTAGATCAGCGCTGCGAAGATCACGATCGCCAGCGTGACGAAGAACACGAGAAGGAGGAGCTCCTGAGCGGACGCCTGAAAAATCAGATGCCATTTGACCATTTTGATCTTTTGCGGCTCGCACTTAGGTCATGCAGACTGCTTACCTTGAACGTTTGGATGAGGACCTTGAGGCCGGAGAAGTGCTTCGTCAGCTTGAAGAGTCGAAGAATGCATACGATCGAGAGGAAGTCGATCGTATCGGCAGAGCCTGAACGCATTCACATTAACGTTTCGGTCCAGCAACGTTCGAACTAGCTGTTACACGTAGCTAGTTATGAGTTGCCTTACCGTACCGTTTTGCATTATCTACGGCACGGCAATCCTATACAAAGGGGGTCAGTACGGCAAGAAGTACGGTACGGGCCATCAAATGCCCTATTTCATGCCGTACCGTGCCGTGCCGTTCCGTATTTCATATGCATGTGACGGCATTTTTTGGGTCACCTTGGCAAGGCAATACGGTACGGGGGGTCCGCACGGCAGGGGTACGGCACGGAGGTGTCCGCGCCATCTAGGCACGTGATAGGTATTGACTTCAAAGAAACATTACCGCTCTGCATGAACATGTCCTTGGTGAGCCAGTCGACGTAGAAGGAGCTGGTCGCCGCTATGTCAATGATGGTAATCGGTGAATGAATGAATTTGCTCAGTGATGGCGAGAATATGAGGCGCATGAGCTGAAAAAGCGACTTTCACACTGGAATTTTACAAGCGGAAACTCACAAATTCAAAGGTGAAGTAGACATTGCAGACGAGGTCCACGGAGAAGAACCAGGGATTAGGGATGGTGTACTGCTTGAAGGCTGCGATCGGCTCGCTGTACTCGCCACCGCTCATCACGTACTGGCGATGGTCGTAGGAAACTGGAAATATTTATGGTTAGATTTGAAAGCTTCTCAAATTCGGAAACAAAATTTTCGGTTGTTAAATATCTGTTTTTATAAATATTTTAAAATAAAAGAATTTTATGTTCTAATTTTAATTATTTTACTTTTTATTTTCGATATTTTATTAAAATATAATATTCAATAACATAATATTTTTAAAAGTTTGAGCGTTCTGAGCACCTCACAGGGACACGTTTCTTTGTGGCAGAAAAGCCCTACCGTGAGAGCCCCGGATAACTATTCGGACGTTTAGCCCCAACCTACCCAACAGCGTCGGCACGCGAAACGACGGGTGTGTCTTGAGGACGAACGAGACGATGTTGGCGATGACGAAGAAGACGGAGCAGCACGAGATCACCTGCAACGGCGTGAGATGCTCGCAAAGCGCATGCCCTAAGCCTTGGCTTGCGCCTTGAAAAGCAACAAAGGCCGGGCAACAAAAGGTGAGGTGAGGTGAAAGCACTGCACTGCAAGCAACACGTAAAGCGAAGGTGGCGAAGAAACCGAGGATACTGCAAGCGTTCAGGGCAAGCAAATCAGGCAACTTAAGCGAGGAGAGTATTAAGAGGTTTGAGAAGGATTAAAGGAAAGCGGGTAGCTGAAAACTGAACTCAGAAGGAAGGAAACTGAAAGAAATAAAAAGAAAGGAAGGAAACCTCTATGAGCTAGCAAACTGAAGTGAACAGAATATGGTCGAGTAACTAAAGACGTACTGGAAAACCATAAAAGTACGTTCGGTTTGTTCTGCCTAGATCTCTTAGAAGTGGTCACGGCTGAGCGATCAATTCCTCTACAGCTCCATCCTATACAGAGGATGGTAGCTCAGACCTTCCCTTTACCTATTTTACTTTATTTTGGTCTCGTTTTCCTCCATTTTCTGGCGAGTTACATGTGACTTTATACGGAGAACCCAGATACTGAGCGTAGCCTTTGCATTGATGTAGACTTTAGCCAAAAAAGTCAGTTGCGGCTCAAAAGCTTCGTGGACATAGCATAAATGAACGTCCAACGGCCTGTTTGCTCTTCTTAAAGGCCCTGCACCGGACTGTCGTCTAAAGAACTAGTTCTGTTTATCGCGTCGTCGGGCTCCTAACAAAACCATGCGAACCAACTCAAATGTAGCCTTTCCAAGTTTCAGTTCGTCCAGCTTTTTCCTGCATTAGCGAAGGCCCCTTGAGCGTCTATTAATTCGTCTCGCTGAAACCGCTTTTGTCCAGCAACCGGCTTGACTGACCGGCTGGACCTGCGCCGAAACGAAACTTAAACTGACCCGTGCGTATTTGGAGGACCACGGCTCGTCGAAGAGCGCCCAGACCTTAGGCTTGAGCCGCTGCCAGCGGTTGAGCGTCCCGGCGTAGTAGTCCTCCTCCCAGCCGAACTTCTTCGCAGTCTCCTCCTGGGTTGGCGGGTCGGAGTCCAGGTCCAGGCTCTCGATGACCGCGAGCGTCTCCTGCGTGTCGCGGTGCTGGGTGTAGGTCATCCAGCAGCTGAAATTCTCTTATTACTAATTTTCAACATTTGTTTGGATTTAAATTAATTTTGTAATTTAGTTTAAACTGAATTAATTTACTTATTAACAATTATTATCGTTGCACGGACAAATATAAAATTAGTTGCTTTGTTTTTAATTATCCAAAATTTACAATTTTTTAACAAATGCTTTAAAAGTAAAAATATTTTTAACATAAGGAAAACTAAATTAAATAAAAACGGATCTGCTAAAAGGCATACGTTAAGGACTGAAAATTACCATGGCTCCACTTGATTCGAGTCGAGGCCCCAGAACTCCAGCTCCTCCTCGAACAGCGGGCCGCAGACGTCCACCGGATAGTGGAGCTTGCCCGTTCGGTAGTAGTTGAGGATCATGGCGAACACGCCGGGATGCCGGTCGAAGAAGTACTCGTTCAGGACGGGATCGTAGTTGGCGAGGTTCGGCGTTAACCTAAAAGTGGGCTTCCGGAAAGTAAAAAAAAACGTTGTCAAGTGAATAGAGGCGCTAGTTCGACGGGCAAGGGCCGTTTTTTTGTCAAGTGGGGCCAGGTTGGTCGGGTTCCGGTGCCGGTCTCGGAGTCCCAGTGGTTTTACTAGTTCACCCGGTCACCGAAAGAGCCTCGCCCCACAAGGATTTTACGGCTCGCTGAGACCCAAATTTAGCCAAAGCGTAAAAGATTCAGCTAAAGTGCCGGTTGAGTCCACTTTTGGGCAAAATTTGGTGCGAAACCGGTCAAAATTCTACTGACTGAAGCATAATCTCGCTGATTTGGAGTCCAGTTGGCAAACCGGGCCGGAGTACCGGGCCGGGCAGGGGAGCCGTTTGAGACCCGGCTAGCCGGCCCGGGAGGGGGTGCCCCGACCCGGCATGCCGGCCCGGGGGTCAGATGGAATATCTAGTTTGGAGCCCCGAACAGACAGATGAACGTACCTCGACAATCTCGTGGCAGGGATCTTTTTGAGCACGTGTGTGTAGGTCTCATGACGGACACCGCCGACGTTGAGGATCACGCGGTGCTCGGTGTCCATCCAGGACTGAA